TTCAGTGGGAACCGCATTCAATACTGTAGTAATGGTCTTGACTGGAAAAACTTAAACTTTTCAGGGCATATCGAGGACAAAAGAGATAGGGGAAGACAGCCAGCCAACTATAGGACGAGTTTTTATAATGGTGGAACGTGTGGGAGCAGTGAGTTTGGCAAAGTGAAAAACGTTGCTAAAGATAGAAATTTTTGGAGAGCCATGATTACCCACGTCCTGAAGAGACACGTTACGTAGAAGAGGACGAATTGATGTTTAATGGGCAATCGAAAATCTTAATAAAGATAATATAATGTCACTCGTGATTGAGCGGTCGAACTTTAGGTGGTTTTCCCAATGTAAGAGAAATGTAGGTTCGCTGAGAATTACATTTTCGATTACCTAGGCTAGTAGACATCAAATACACAAAATCAGGGATGTTTATCGTGTATCCGATGATAATAATAATATCGGGTTAAAATGCATTATTTCCTCATTCCTTATATATATATATATATATATATATATCGCCTTCAGTACTTCAATCTGGCCTTCTTCCGTAGTAAGCTTGGTTACATAAAAAGCTATCCAAATCAATACCAGGTTATAAACTAGTGAGAACAATTATCAAAAATCTGTTTGCATTGCAGCAAAAATTAGAACAATTTCTGGCTTGAACCATTTCCCTTGAGTTTGCCTTGTTCAAAGATTGGCTAAATCTCAAATATATTCAGCTTTTATTGGAGTCACCATCGAGAAAAAACATTTGGCATGTGAGGGGGTCACTTGAAGGTCCTCCCTCCTTTCTTTAGCCCGGGCTTTTATTTAAGCACTTTCAGAATATCCGGTATTGAATTGCTTACGTTTGGGCTGTTCCAACTTTAATATTTCTCTTAACTGTACAGTGATTTCAGACTTAGTCGATGGAACAAAGGAAAAGCGTTGCAACAACCGGTTATTTGTTGGCAATTTCTTCGTGTTTTATTTATAGATATAAACTTATATACATGACTAACATGGTATTAGTCAGAAAGGTTCAAAATTTAAAGCTTCAAATTTTATTATAAAGGCTAAATGGTTAAGTTTGTCACATTAATTAGTGACAAAATTAATGTTTCTAATGGCAATGATTAATTTTGTATATATAAAATAAGCTACGTGAGTTTAAGCGAGCTAGTAGATTGGCATCTAGGCCCAACCCCTTTAACTATTGAATTAGGTATATGTAACCGCCACTTCTACACCAACACTTTCTTTTCTCGCACTTCCCGCTTTTGGAACTCCCTTCCGTTTCCTTGCTTCCCTGATAACTACAATCTTCAAAAATTTAAATTCAACGTCAATTGCCATCTACTATCTTCTTGAACCCTGTTCAGCTTTTATCCTTTCCTCGGTCCCCCCCCTGTACCCAATCTTTTCTCTCACTTTCACTCTCTGTAACCCTCTGCGTACTAGTGGTATTCCCGCCTTGCTTGGACTGAAATGATAAAAAAGCAATAACGCTTGCCGCAGATTGAGGTTAATGTCGCAAGCCATAGATTATGATTACGAGCTTCACTAAATATGCCACTATAAAAGCTTTATTCCAGATTAAAGTAAGTTTAATAGATTAAATAAGAAATACACAATTTATTAGAAATCAAATTACAGTTCTATTTTAGAATGTCATCGTGTGATTTTGCCCAAATAACGGAAATGAGTGATTGCAAAGTTGTGAATACCTTACGGTATGTCATTTAAAAACGAAAAAGATGAAATCGAGGAAGTCGATCAAGTTATTGCTGTTACTGCAAATGGTATAGTTATATATAATGCAAAAACTGAGCAAATTTTATTGCAGGATTTTCTCTAACCAGTAAGCAAAAAACAGTAAATGATTTTAGCGTTGATTCGTATTACTAGAATTTGTATAGAGTTGAATTTCTGAAGGTTACTTAAAGTGACCGGTAATGGATTACAATCATTGCACTCTATTTTGAATATCTTGTGTTACGAGTAATTTTCGCAGCCATTACCTAACACATTTATAAAAGTGCATATCGATCTTAACTTACAAGTATATTATCAACAGATTCATATTATCACCACCTTCCATCATTTAACTTTATATTTATATAGCAGAAACTTAATTTGATAAATGATCATATTTCTGCTTGATATTCTAACTGCAAACATTTTATTTTGTTAAGAGCATTGAAAAACAGATACAAAAGATAAGTTTGCGAGGGAATTTTACGTTTATCTATATACTACACGAATCATGTACCAAAAACGTTTTCAAATCTATTATTAAAATTTATACTTGTCTTTACATCCTCTATTGTCACCAATCAGGCGAATAAATCAGTAATCGACTTAAAAATTTATATATATTTTTATTCAAACAAAAGCACCCGGGCCCCGTTAAGATTTTAGTTTTGATAAAGGAGGAAAGTTTAGTAAAAATCCCAAACAAAAACATGCCGAATTCACGGAAAACCTATGAACAACAATGTGTACATTTCAGGGATGATTTTAAAATACGAATTTCGAAATAGACTGGGAATTTTTACTGTATAATTAAACGATTATCTTAAATACATTTTATAATTCAGGAATCAAATCAGATATAATGGTCTGCGTCTGACTATGGATTATCCTTCAGTGAGGAAAACGAAGCATGCAAATTAAGTTATAAGAATTAACGCCGAAGAGGATCGAATTGGGAAGGACGTTTCACTGATGTAGATATTTGGGCGTGCAAGGTTGCAGCGGCTAAGCACAGATTATTATAGGGAGTTGACAAGCTAATCGTTTAGCATTACTATTCACAATGCAACCACTCTTTAGAAATTTGCGCGACTTATTCTAATTAATTCTGAGAGCAAATAAACAAAGCATATCATGGTTTATCCAACAGATCTTCAAAGTTTTAGGCCAAACAGACAAATATTAAACCAGCTTAAAATTACTCATTTTCAGCATGCAAAACGCATTTTTTACTTGTTATATCCTACATCGTAATTCTTTTAATTTTTTTTAAACTAGTGACAACAATATATTTTCAGATTAAGCCCTTTGATATGAAATGACAATTGCCTGATTATTTTTGAAGGGACAATTATCAGTAGGTTAGTTCATTTCGCGTGTTCAAAAATAACCATATTGTAGTAAATTAATTACATTGTATTTGAAGCTACTGTGGAACAATATTGATGATTTTTTAATTCTTCAATGTGTGTCCCAAGAATGTGGCTTTAAGCCAACAAATACTTAATTGCATTGTATTTATTCTTGTATTAAGCATAAACACTTTCTAAGAATAAAAAGTAAACAATTTTTATTATCATACTTTATGAATTTAGTTTAAAACATAAAAAACATCTTCATTTTTGTTTTGGGTTTGGCTGAGCAGGTGGAAAGCATAAAACGATCAAAGAAATATATTGGCGAAAACTCTGTCAAACAACCATCTTGGTTGAATCACTAACTACATTTTGGAAATATTCTTTTGGATACTATCTAGTAGTACTTGACGATTTTCTGATTCTTATAAGCTTCTGGTTTCGATTTTAGCTATGATAAACTAGGGACTGTGCTAACGACTTATTTTCTACTTATTGTTTAAAATATATAACAAGTACAAACGAAGTCAAGTCATGAACAGCGTGAAGCAATACAAGCAAGACAAAATATTTTGCGATTAAACGGAATGTATACATAATGTAGTGTGCTTGATGAGCCAAAAAATTCAATCTTGAATTTATCTTAAAAATATTTTGATATTAACAAAGTATCTTTTTTTCATTGAAATAACCAAGTCATAATAAAGGTTTTATACAATAGACAATAATTTTTCTATTTGAGTTTTCAAAAAGAGTTTGTAGAGTTAGAAAATCAACGAGGAAACTCATAGGAACCATAAATGACAAATAATTGTATAAAAATGAACCGATAATTAATCATAATCGCATATTAAATTAAAAGTAATCTATTTTGGAAATAAATATTTACTATTCTTCATAATGAACAAACCAGAGTGTTGTCGCGTCATTGAAGATGCCGAAATAATGTGTTCTTTTAAGAGAGTCCGAACTGAAGCGGATGATAGCCAAATAATCAACTAATTGTCCCTGGAAACGAAGCGAAACAGTGTTACAGTGTTGTTGAATGACAAAGATCTTTTCGATTGGTTGGCTCTTGGTCAATCAGAAAAAAGCAATAAGCGTACAGAGTAAATTCAAGCATAAAACCAGTTTCCTGGCATACACAATACACAAAGTTAAATCTATATACACAAGTTTTAAACACTCATTCAACGCGAGTTATATACACTAAAGACAATCATAAAAATTTAAGTACATACACAAATTTCATATCGCACTCTCTTTTTCGTTCTCTCTCTCTCGCACACACACATTTCCAATACACACACACTACTAGTTACATACACAGGGATACAAAAAGACAAAATTTGGACACTTCTCCACTACATACATACACCTACACAGTACCAAACGTTTACAGAATAGAATGTTCACACTTTATCAGAGTCATTTTTAAACACTGTTACATATATAGTACACATATACACATGCGTTCGCAAGCACTAAAAAGCATGTTGAAAAAGTGACGAATCAAATATGATCAGTGTAAAAAAGCGAATTCAAAAATTAAAAAAACTTCATTTTTCAAAAAAAAAAAATTCCCATTTGATTTTATTTATTCCGAGAGAATTCTTTTCGATTCGTAAGAGAATCATTTTCAACACTTCGGAATCTTTTAAAAGTAGAAAATTAACTTTAGAAGACGAAACAACTCCCATTTGTATTCTGATGAATAATGGGGTGGTGGTGTGGGTAAGGATGATATTTTTAATACATTTCATGAACACAGGACGATTTACTTTTTTCCTTCTACAAATGAAATGACGAATATAATTAAATTATGCATCACAAATCATTCATAGTTTTATCATTGAAGGAAATGAAAATTTTACGCTTTGTCATTCTTTCTTTACCTGTCCCTGTCTTTCTCCATAGATGTACAAGTCTATTTACATATCTCAGACTGTACGCGTATCTATCTATCTATCTATCTATCTATCTATCTATCTATCTATCTATCTATCTATCTATGTGTATGTATGTATGTATGGGTGTGTCTGTGTGTGATCATATATGAAAATATTAGGTCGCTCCATTACAAGAGTATCATGTATTTATTAAAAATTTTCACGGTTGAGAAGGATGCATATTACATTTGGCCTAAAATTAATTTTTTCTATTGTGCTAATCGATAGAAAGAAGTATAAGCAGGCAAATATAGAATCATCATCATCATCCACATTTGTTTGCTAACACTTACTACAAGTAATCTTGTGCTAAATTGTCTGGTTGTACTTCGTACAATAGACAATCATCCTCAAATCCTCAGTACGCTAAAAGCCGTGGAATGAGAAAGAAATCAATTCAAAAATAGATAAATACACAATCATCCAGTACATTAAATGTAATGCCTTAAAAATATGCAATAATCTCAAATCGCGACAGTTCAGGCTCCAGTTACTGTGCAACCATTCAAAGATTGTCCGTCGGGAAGAAATATTATTGCCTCTTAAGTCAGCTACAAATTCGTTGGTGGGAAAAAATTAGAAATATTAGTGAAGAATTAATAATCAAAGCTGAATAGAAAAATTCTGTTCCTTTGTGCCATTCACAAAGAGCGATGGTCTTATTTACTAAACTTTGCGTACGGGAGTATTAAATCTTCTCTCTCACTGTTAGTCTGACTTTCTCCTCCAGTCCAAGCTCCAGGGGAAACAAGCCACTCAGAAGGAAGTGTAATGGATGATGACAAAAATTGGCAGTATGAATCATTTAGGTGATAGCTATTGCAACCTTTGGCATAGCTCGAGGCATACACAAGAGAAATCATTAGGATTTTCAGTTTCGGGACAAGAAATTATTGCCAAAATATGTTCGCATTGCAGATTTCTCAAAGTCTAATGTAACTGGCTTCTTAATAAGGATTTTATTAGTTGTATGAACTGATTTAAAAGTTAAGACAAACTATGAGTGATGGAAGTGTTTCTTCAAGATGTCAATAATTGTTGCTAGAGTAGAGTCAGTATACTCTACCAGTTCATATATTTTTCAATGCTAGGTAATAAGGATTTTAAAATTGCCGTATTTTACGTCACACAAAATGTATTTTTAAAAGTATTAAAAAATTATACTTCGTCCACTGCGCTGGTATTATGAACGGTAGAGGGTGCGATTATCAAAAACTCTAGCTGTATAGCCATGCGGCCAAGATATGTTGCTCTGAGGAAAATCTCTTGTAAAACATGCATCTAATAGGCCAAAAAATACGATAGCCAATGTTCTCGGAAATCAACACGTTTATTATTTTATAATAATAATAATAAACTGATCTATCATAAGGATGTTTTAAATACGTGCACGTTTTACGAACAAGCTTATACGGTGTTATTTTTTAGTAGTAAATGTTTAAATCTATTTAAACTACTCGCTGGAAGAATAAGGAATTTTTCTATCACTTCAGTAGGCATTTATCTATATCCGAACATGACATGAGAGGTGGCATAAAATCTTAAAAAATATGTATTAATCATGTGAATCAGAGAATACTATAATCATTGTATCTAAGTACGACGGTGGAGTGTTACTCATTCTTAGTGAGTTGAGCACCACGTGATGGATAGTCGAAATACACCAAGACAAATATTCACAAGACTAAGTGTTGCTATTTACTAAGTTTAGCTGAGTTTGTCAGAAAGCCACAAGTAAGGGCGACACAGTGAAGATGGAAACTCACTGCCCATTAGTAATAGTGAAGTACATTATCTCAAAAAAATGTTATTCCGTTCTTAGGCGTCCGAATATTTCTAAGTGAAATTCTGAGAAGTATTATCATAATCACGTTTGTAATTCGGAGTAGTAACATCATTTTTGTGATATTCCCTCAACCTTTCGATTATTTTCAGTGCATTTTACAATCGTTTTAGTTTTGTCTGAAATTTTGAGAGTATTATTATACCGTGAGTTATTCGAACTATTATGTTCTTTCACTACAAACGGTTTATTTTAAGAAAGAAATCATTGTCTGCCAGAATTATTTGAAGCTACCTTTCTTTTCTTTTTTTTTTAACCACATTTTACCTCGCTTTAATTCATCAACTTTTACATTGGATGTAGAATAACAATTTTAAAATGTCAGTTGATCAAGAAAATTTCATAGAAATTAATTTCGGTTTCAAGGTCAAATGTGTTTATTTTGTAATTCTAGTGAGTTATCTTCCGAATTCGTTGAGAACATCGAACAGGTTGTTCTAAGTTTTCTTTAATCGATGTACACGCGAGAAGATTTTCTTAATGCAATAGTCAATTCACTGTTGTTGTTGTTGCTAAGATCATAATGACGGGAGAAGTTCTCCATTTCAGCATGTCAGTTATGTCAAATCACACAGCAGAAATAATGAAGTCATTTGAATATTGAATACTGTTTAATGTGGGATAATTTGCATGATGTATTAATAAGTTGATTAAATTCATCATATTCCCTTGAGTAGTTTTCTCATCTTGTTAGACAATGCAAAATAGCCTTTGAATCATAATATAAATTTGAGATGGTAGTATCAACTTTGTTCGCTACTGATATTAAATTCAAATTTTAATTTCACTTACTATTCAATCAGAATTCGATTAAATATCTATTAGGTGCGTAAAACGTTCATGCACAGAAATTGCTTTGGCGTTTGCATTGACTTGTCAGTAATTTTCACGAATACGCTATTATTGGAATCTATTTTAACTTTTCGGTTATCCGACTTTCTATAATAAGCAAACAACTATTCTATGACATTATCGTTTTTAAAATGTTACAAAATAGTAAAAGGCAGAATTCAGTACACTGATTTTTCTGTCGCGTTGCAGAAGCAACAAATTACTAAAAAAGCTTATCAAGTTTTAGATAAGAATGGCGAAGCTCAGTCTGTTACTTTAGATATCTCGAAGACGTTTGACAGGGTTTGTCATGTTGGTCTTCTTCACAAGTTGAAGAGTTAGCGTATTTCTGGCCGTTTCTTTACTTTGATTAAATCTTTCTTATCAAACCGCATAATGAAAATATCGTCATTTTCTGTTTTCTTGAATCCTTTTATTTTCCTCACTTTTTCTTTCAATCTCAGTAACCCCTTGCACCCTAATGACTTTTATTGCCTTACTTGGAGTGAAATGATTAAAAAATGATTATTTCCATAGGTATTTCGCCGTGGAACAATGGTCATCAACCTAATCTTTAAGAGATTACAACAGTAATAACTTCGGTCTTACTATGTGTTCTACTCACATGTCCTTGTGGTAAACCAAGATAATGTTAGTAAATAACTATGAATTTGAGTACTGAAAGATAGTATTCAACTGTTGGAAATAATAATGTGGATAAATGTGGTGTTTAATGCATGTTCACTCAAGTTAGCTTTAAATCAAAATATCTACAGTATAGTTTTAATTTTATTTGCTTTGTGTGAAAATAAACCATTAAAGAGACTTGGTGTCGCTGTGATAGGATTTGTAATTGTAAGTTATTTGACTTTAAAATGCAAAAGAATGTTTTCTCTACATCACGCATCAGATGCTTTTGTCAGACGAAAATTTGTTTACGTTTTAAAATAGGCTAAAAGTCAATACAAGTTCAGTTTCTTTTCATGAGAAAGAATTATCATAACAGCAAAGACATTTTAAAATGCTTCTTTCCCTATCATTTAAAAATATATGAGAAATAACTGTTTTGAATTGACTAGCGATTTGAATGAATTATTTCATCCAGCTTACATGCCGAGTTCCTTTATGTAAAACGATAGATTTGGATTAAGTATCGAAGAACAACGCCTAGAAATGCATTTAGCTGTCGCTATCTTCTGAATATCCCATTTGTAAGTTATTTATTCAAATTATCGACAGGTACCATTCAAAAGAAAATCACGAGGTCCAATAATAAATGACAAAATATTTGAAAGAATAGAAAAAAGGCGGTGGGGTTGTTAAAAATTAAAAAAGCATCTAGAAAATAAATTTTGTAAAGTGTGTCTGCTTTTCAAATATTAACTTTTTTCAATAAATGAAGCGAAAGGAATTCTTAATAAATGTTCATGGATTCTAAAATCCATTAAACGGTGGAATATATTGATTGAAGTAACTTGCAATGTAATTATCTTTAGAGTAGGTTGCACAGTATTATTTTCTTTCATTTTTATAGAAACGAATTAAAATTTCACTTATTAATAAAAAGAAAGTAAAACGAACATTTTCTTCAGGTTAACACATACATTCATAAAAACGGGAAAGAAACAAGAAAGTTAAGATAATTAAACTATGGTGCCAGCATGTAAAATTAAACTCATTTCAGCCATCCACCAACCACGAACATCTGAAGAATTTTATGAAAATTTAATCACGAAAATGTCCTACTTGATATTGATATTTACTAAGTTTAGCTTAGTAGGGCACAAGGCTTAGTGTCAGGAAATAAGAAGTGAAAAATTCTCCTAAAATGAAAAGTGGCTACCCACTTAAACAAACGAAAGAAACGAAAAAAAAAAAAAAAAAAAGAAAAGAAAGAAATTAGCATTTATCTAGATTAGAACATCGACCTTTTGCGTTGACGGCAACACACGTAACTATTTCAGCCATGAGTATTTATTAATCAAAAGCCCAGATCAAAGAAGGAAGAATATACTGCGCCAGTTTTCTAAGTGGGTTGAACCTGCTGCGTTTAAAAAAGACAACATTCAAAATCCAGGTTTTTACCTAGACCGGAAAACTGACTAGTGAGTAATAAACAACTATATTAGCCACCAAGCAAACAATATTATGTTTGATATACCTTTATTTTCTAAGGTTGGTTTTCTTCGTCTATAACCTGTAACCTTTCTATCAGCATATTAAGCAATTATCTTCGTCCTCTAGGATGAGTTTGGGCAGCAAGTATGAAACCAACATATTTGATTTCAAATCTGATTGCTAAACGTTTTCTCACAGCTAATCATCAAGGCATGGCATCGTGATAGGCATAGCAAATTAAAGGTGAGAGCTTCCGCATGTCTCATTGATTATA